TTGGACAATTGATAATCAAATCCCTTTCTTCCAATTTATTCAACCTCAAAAGGTAAAACTATATGATTTTGATCTTGATTCTTTAGAAATGTTATATTATATAGTTTGACTATATTCATTATGGTGTCATATCTAGTTTTTAATTGTTCCAAGTTTTGTTTCCAAACTTGACTTAATTAATGTAATATCAACAAAATTGAAAAACCTTGAAAAAAGAGTCGTAAGTGTATCGCATAAAATTGGAATGAGGAGTTATCAAAGCCAGAAACTTCAGAACAAATACACACCCTAGTCAATGGCAGAGACTGTGGCAATGTACAATCAGCTTCTTGATGATCATCAGAGTTGAACCTCAGCTTCCTGTAACCATTCTTTGACCACTTCAACTTCGTGGCAGATTCCACGCAATTCAACAGGCCTTGAATACTGGGTATCTTGCGGGGGGGTGGTGCAGGTTGTTTGCCACAGATGTCATCAGCAACTGCAATTTTCCAAGCACCAATATCACCACAAGCACTAGCTGTCTTCCGGTGCCCTGAATACATCTCATCCTTGGTGTCAACTTGACTCCCGTCCACTAAGTTAGACGAACTTTTTGAATACTCTGGCATTCGTTGCTTACAATCCTCTTCCCACAAAGCTGGTTTCTGCTCAACTTCGTCAACTTTTACAGAGGATTTATCCGAAAATGAAGAAGAGGTCGACGGTCCTGAGAGAAACACGGCTAGTTCATCGAGTTCCCTCTCATCCAAGCGGACCCATTGATTGCCTTGTGAAAAAGCTGATTCATTTAGACTCTTCTCTACTTTCTTAATCTGATTATCCATGGCAATAACAAATTCACCATGCCTTTCTTTAGCATCATCAGTTGATGTATTATTGTAGCTCGAACTAACTGCCCGATCAAATTCCTCCAACTGCATTAACATTAAGATATTCAACTTTTATTACATCCAACAATAACACCCTATATGCGACTACACCTGTCCATTAATCATTTTTTTCTGTCCCTTCTCTTTATCTGTTATTTTTCTTCTATGGGGCAGGGGGAGTTGTATTCGGGAAGGAGTTGTACCTGCCATTTAGCAGTGCCAAGGGTAGTCCTTAGGTCTCTGCATAGCTCATTGGAATTCCAACGTCCAGAAGTATCCTTCAACGCATGAATCCATGTTCTATAAGTCGATTCCATCCTTGAAAAATCAAATTAAACAAACATTTCAACAAAAAGAGCAAAACCCCACAAACTAAAACCAACAAAAGCTTCAAACTTTGCACCACTATCATAAAGAAATTCACACAAAATCCTTATCCACGAGGTCTCAGGTTCAATCCCCAAACAAAAACACTAGTTAATTCTTCTCATTGTCCTAGCCTTGATTGACACAATTACATAGTATCACGTGGAATAAGTCGAGGTGCACCAAATCCCGCCCGAACACCACCATCATCAAAAAAAAATAAATATTTAACTCACAACAAAACTAATCCAAAACCTCCCAAATTTATTTTTAAAATTAACCAATTACCCATCATCTATATCCATTCCACTCTACTACAGCTCATTTCATCCCAATACCAGTAAATAATTTGAGCTTACAAAACAAACTATTGATTTTAAAACCCTAACAACACAAATTAGCAAAAAAATCAGAAAAATTACAAAAAAATACCAAAAAAATTGTAAAATTACCTGTCGGCAGATTCCTGAACCTCTTCTGCAGCAGAGAAGAACGGATCTTTCTCCCATCGATCAAAATATGAACCCATATCCTTCAACCACCAAATCGAATTTTACAAAAAAATTCCCAAACAAATTGGGAAAACCCAAAATTGATTCAATCAACAATTTATAATTTTATCAACAAAAATAATGAACCAATTTGGATTTGCTTGGATCAAATTTAAAGTAGAAGAATCTTTTTTTTTTTTTTTATCAATTTGGTAAGGTGGGTATGGTTAGCGGTTTGCGTCAAACGCATGATGTATTTAAATACATAAAAAAAGTTTATTATAAAGTTTTTATAAAAAAATAATAAGGTGGTGTTCTGACTAATAGAGCATATAGATTATTTTAATAAGTTTATATATTATTTTATTTATATATATAACAGTATACGTAAGGAATAATTGTATTCGTCACACAAAATTTACATATATAAAAATATTACTCAATATTTTTTTTATTTCATCTGAAATTTGAAATCATAATAATAATTTATTCCAAATTATTGAGGAGTGGGAATAGTTATTCTTGTCTTTTAGACGAAGACTTTCCAAATATTTTGTATTATTATAATTAAATAAATACTTAAATTTATATCTAAACAAACATCATAATATAACACGAAACATGTGAAAGTTTTTCAATATAAATAATATTGGAGTAGATAAGGATTATAAATTAAGTTTAACTTTTTCTCCTCTAATGAATATTTTCACGTGTTTATTTTTAGTTTCATAAATATGAATTGTAAATCTAAGATAAATAAAATTTATTTCTTAATAATTTAATTTGTGAAGAAAATTTACACGTTTTCAATGGATTTTAGCTAGCCGAAGACAAACGTCAAATACGACCTCTACCTAAGTAATTACGCGTGCGGTCAAAATGAGCGTGCATAAAAATAATGTGTCCGAGTAAAGTTGATTTTGAGATGTATGCGTGTTTCACTCGATATTCGATATTTATATCGAGTTTGATTAAGTCTGAATTCGTGTATTGGAGGATTTATTTATCTTGAGGGTCAACAGTTAACACTTTCAATATCGTAATTTTTTCCCCTCGAACTCAAGATCTCTAATTACTATTGGAAGAATTTGTGAATGGTGTTTTCTTGCGGTCCAATATATGTATTGAAGATCGACTAAATTTGAATTTGTGTATTGTAAGATCTATTTCTGAAGACCGTGTTTTTAACATGATTTTCTTTTTAGAGATTTAAATTCAAGATCTTCTGATTAAAGGTGGAGAAATCTCGATTATATATTCCATCACCATTCATGTTTGTTAGCTGTGAAAGGTGTTTGATGTTTGGAGTAACATAACATTAAACAAGTTGATGCTGACATTTTTTGGCACTTCATAGTTGTTACCTATAGTGAAAATCAATTGACAATGAATTAATCATTTTTATCTTTCTTCTCTAAAATTGACTGTTAGGTGCTTTGTCTTTTTGTTGATTATTTCACTTCATAACATGATAATGTCTTATAAAGTTAGCCCTTCATTAGATGTCTTGTGCTCTAGCTTGTAGACATAGTAGATTATGTGTTTTTATCGATAACGTTTATGATAGAGTGATAAATATTTTTTTATCGTTAATCATAAATTTCGTATATCTATAGTAAATTTTTAAAAAGTTAATCGAGTTTTAAGTCAACTTCTTCTGAATTTGGGACCAAAATGTTTGAATTGGACAATAGTTTTATGAGTTGGACCCCCCCTGCATAAGATAATAACTTTGATGTCCAGCTAGTAACTCTTCCAATATCTTATCAATTAAAGGTTGGCATTAATTAAATATTCCCTCTATTTCTAATTACTTGTCCACTTTTGAATTGACATACATTTAAGAAAATAATTAATGACATAGTGAGTTTATCATTTTATTCCTATTAATTATGAAGTGAATGAAAAGTTTTACATTTTTCAAAATAATTAGTCATTTAATTGAGGGTATAATAGGTAAAAAAATTGTCCTTTCTTGATTTGTCAAAATGGACAAATAATTAGGGACAACTATAAAAAGAAAAGTGAACAACTAACTAGGGACAGAGAGAGTAATATAGACAGTGTTCTTTTAAAGCTCAAAGGAACCTCTAAATACTCCTTCTGTTCGTATTAGTTGGTCATTATCCTAAGAATAATTATTCCGTATTAGTTGATCACCTTACTAAATTAAAAAAACATTAATTAATTTTTTTTCATATTACCTTTGCAATTAATTCATTTTCAAAGTGTCTACACTTGTTTGTAAAGTTTCAAAAAAGTTCTTAAGGAGTAAATTGATAAAACTATTCTCTTATAATTTTATTTATAATTTCTTAATATACGTGTAAAAGGAAAAATAATTAACTAATATGAAAAAAAGAAAATATCCTAGAGGTAATTCTCCTTTTCCAAATCCTAGATAGTGCAGAATAGCCAATTGAACATCAGTCTTGACCCCACCAAAATAGATTGAACATCAAACTAGACCCCTACCAAATTCACACTCCATTACTCTCACGTTAACTAGTATTTGACCATAAATTTTTAAATATTTTTGATAATTTATTTTTTAATATCAGATAAATCAAATTTTAATATGATACGTATTGATTATTGAAGGAAAATATTTTTTGACATTTGATATGTTAGTTTTACAGATAATCACATATAAAAATTAAGTCTTCATTCTCAATATTATGAATTTAACTTCATAAATCAATCAAGACATTCAAATCGCTTATATATATAGTAAATTTATTAGGAGCTAACATTGACTCTCAATAACTCAAAATTAAAAATATTATATCAAAATATGAAACTTTCAAAGTTTGATTTTCTATATCAAACTTAATTTTTTCTGTAATCAAACTTCAATACCGTTAAATTCCCATTTAGTTCGATAATTCCATTTTCATATGTTCACCCCTACCACTCCCTATATATGGATCCCCTACTATTAATGAATTGGCATAAAATAATAATTCGCAATTAATTTTAGAACAAATTTATCTCATATTTAATTAAAACAAAATGAAATAACAGTACTAAATTAATTAATCTCGAAATAACTTGTTATCTTACCAAATATCTTAAAGAGTCATTTAATATGAGGTATAACGTATAATAATCTCAAGATAAAATGTAAAATTATTTTATCTTATATTTGATTGAGGTAACACATAGTCCAAAAATTATTTATCTCATATACATAATAACTTAACTTGATCTCAAAATAACTTATCTCAAAATAATTAATACTGAATTTATTTATCTCATCATTAAAATTAACTTAACTTTATCTCAAAATAACTTATCCCAAAATAATTACTCAATTCCAAATATGTAAAGCATTTAACTACACAAATTACCGACCAAACTATGAAAATTAATATATATTTTCGATCCAATTAACTTACTTCGTCTAAATTCTGAATCAAATTAAATACGATTTTGAGGAAGCCGGAACCGGAAATGAGACGCCGGAGAACTAACAGCGACGCCGTGCCAGCATATGCCACCTCGACAAAATTCATGACTAGTATGCTGCTGCTGCTGATTTTGATAATTAATCCGATCAGGCCGATTATGACGAACCCTAACATTTCTCGCCTTGATGTAAATATCCCAGGTTAAAGTCAAAATCAACACTAGAGCGACGGCAGCCGTCGAAAGAATGAGAACGAAACAACCGGTGAAATTTCGACCGGTAATTAAGCCGTAAGCTTTCATTGCACCTATAATTGCTAGGTACAAAGTTGTTAAATTCGCTGTTACTTTATCTGAAATCGCCATTTTTGTTGGTGTGAAAGGAGTTTTGGGGGTTTTAGTTTGTGTGTGGGTGTGGAGAGTGTGAATTTTAGGGGAAATGGAGGTGAGGAGGTGTCGGTGTCAAGTTGCGTGTGACATGTGAATATTATAGCTTTTAGCTTTACCTTTTTTCGGAATTCGGTATTCACTTTATATCCCCGACTAAATTTGAATTTAGAAAGTCGAAATTGGACCTAACAAAGATACTGACTTAAACCTAAGATATATGAAATAATACTTATCACTCTTTAATTGCATGAAAATTTAGGTATTATATACATAGAAATTTGTTATTCAATTTTATATCTAATTTTAAATTATACATAATTTTTTTCATAATTTGTACATTTTCTTCCTCTAGACCATATTAAGTTCAACAATATGGATTAAAAGGAGTATTAATTATATATGTTTCTAAAATGCAAATTAGATAATGTATATTTTAATCAAATTATTAAGCATGGTATTATTTATGCAGAATTTAAGTATACATTCAATATTCTCTTAATCAGCTACCAAACAATTTTTTATTTTGCCTGATATAGGTTGGACACAAAATTTTAAAAATATATGAGAAAATTTTATAACATTTCAAAATTATTCTTAGAAATAACTTTTCGAGTATTTTTTTTTTGTAACAGTCGAATAAAATATAAACATTAGATGTTATTAATAAGTATTTGAATAATTGGAGTAGTTGCTTAATTCTTCTGTAATTTTTATCTCTCTATGCAAATCACAAAAAGAAAATGCAATTATTAATGGTGCGTTTCTGGAAATTTCACGAGAATTTATACAAAAATGGTTGGTGATTATGATTTATGTCACGTTACATTAGCTCCAAATTGAATCATACGTCAACTTCACATTAAGTGTCATCTATAAATGGACACAATTTTGATGAGGTGAAGTGAACTCATACTCATTTTTGGACTAATATTTAATTAAGACGTAATACATAAATATGTCATTTAATTTAATCTTTTTAATTTATGTCCTTTAGTTTTGAATGTATAAATAGTTAGACAATAAAATTTATATTAAGTTGAACAAATATATAAATGCATTCGACATGATAATTTATAGGGAAAATTGTATAAAATAGCAAACTATTAATTCAAATTAAATGTTATAACCACGGTTTCATTTAATTGTAATCTGTAGCAAACACTTGCTCTTCGCCTAATTACGTTTGTGTTTGTATAAAGCGAGAGAAAACTGTATATACAAATACATATATTTTCGTCCTATACACTTATAATTATACAAATACAAATCTTCCCCTACCAGTTCTCTTTTTCCTTTCTCTCTTTCTCGCTTTATACAAACACAAATTATACAAATTACAATGTATAATTTGTGTTCTACAAAGCGAGAGAGAGATTTGATATACAAATGTTTATTTCGATTCAATTGTATACAAATTTAAATTTTATGCAGATATACAAACACAATCATTGATACATATACATATAATAGTTACATATATACAATTATCTAACCGATATACATATACAATCGTTGTGCTTTTATACAAACGAGAGGCCTGCCAACAATTTATACAAATCTGATGCTCCATAGCAACCATAAAATTTGTTATGGAGCGCTATGCAAACTATATATATAACATACAAATAAGAATTTTATGTTTGCTAAACCTAAAATTTACTCTAATTTATATCCTATATGTATTTTGGCACGTAATACTTATTATATTTGTGCATACTAAAAGTAATATACAAAAATTAGTGAGCTATGTGTAATTTCCCTAATCTTTTGGGGGCAAATCGCATTATCAAAACAAAAGCCCTAAAAACATAAGCAAAACCTCAGTGTTCTATGATCTTCAAAACCCCCCAAATTCATCAAACTGGAAAAACAGAGAAGAAAAAATCTCAAATTCATTCAAAAATGGGACTAAATTTTCTAACAAGCTTAGCTAAACGCACAACAATTCAACATTCAAAGCGTTGTTTCACTTCCAAGAATTCAATTTCCAGAATATGGACTGAATCTAAATCTTATAGTAAAAATTTCAATACAAATACAGTTACGAAAACCCCTTCTTTTTCATTTTCGTTACTTTTTCGAAAATCGTATTCATCATCTTCATCTTCGTCTGCGAAAACCCAAGTGGGGTTTTTGGCATGGTATTTAGGAGCTCTAGAAGCTCGTCCAATTATCACGAAAAGTATTTCTTCTGCTGTTATTTATGCTGCTTCTGATGTTACTTCACAGGTAATTTCCCATTTTGTTTGCTAATTTTTGTAATTTAATTTGCTAATTTCAGTGGAAAATGGTTTACATTATGATGTAATTGTAATTTTCTGGAGAATTTTTGTTTGATTGGACTATCTAAGTATAGAAGGTAATAAATGATAATGGTATTAAGTGGAGGTTATGATCAAGAATCAAGATAGTTTTTTTTTGTTGTTGTTGTTAGTTGAAGTAAATGCTACGCTCTTTTTTGGCCATAAATTTTGAGGTTGAAACTTGAAAAATTGAGCTTTTAAAGTTGTGATTTTTGGAATTTGACGTTGTGTTGGAACATGCATTTCACTTGGAAAAAAGTTTGAAGTTTTATAAGCTGAAGTCCCAAAAACCAGACCAGTTTTTGGAATTTAAAAATATTTGAAGATGATCGAATTTCATGGCCAAATAGATATTTAAAGACAATTTTTCAAACTTTACTCCCAAAATGTATGGCCAAATGCTAGCTAAATGTTGATTGAAGCAAGTGTGATATATTAAGAAATAGTTACGTTCTTAAAGAATGACTTCCATTTTCCTCTTTTGGGTGAAAATATTTTCAACAATTCAAAAAAACCAAATTGGAAAATGATTTCAGTCAAGGAAAACAGTTTCCAGTTTCCACCATACCAAAACACAACATGTACTGGTGATTTTTGCTTTGATTAGACAAACGAACTGGAAAGTTTGAATTTTTTGATGCGATAAAAATTGATTAAACATGAGTTGTGACTTGTGGGCTATGTGGTTTGCATTTTCCAGATGATTATGATGTCACCTTCAGATTCTTTAGATATAATTAGGACTCTACGAATGGCTAGCTTTGGACTATTAATTTTAGGAACAGCACAGCATCATTGGTTTAACTTTGTGGCAAGGGTATTGCCGAAGCGGGATACCATTAGTACATTGAAGAAGCTGTCGATGGGACAGCTTGGTTTTGGGCCTGTAATTAATTCTATTTTCTTCTCTTTCAATGCTACTCTACAAGGTACACATTAGGTTCTTCTCTCTTTCATTCGCTTTCTGCCTAGTTCTTGCTTTCTAGTACTGAAGTTGCTAATTCGTTTCTTAATTATGCTATTTGTCACAACTCACAAATGATACTAAAAGGCACATAACTTTACTTCCTGACTTCCTGAGTATGACCATGTATCCCAAAAGAACAGTTCAGAGTCCAGAAAGCACCATTGGGACATCAGAGTCGAGTGATACACACTTCACCACTATGTGGGGGATTTAACCTTGCTTCTTTCCTGCATTATAATGTAAAGCAAATGTTTGTTTTGTATATTCTGAAGGTTAAAAGAACATGACAAATTATAGAAAAATACAAACAACATAAGGGAAAATCATAGAGGCAGAATAAGGTGGTCCAATGTGTAAAATGCATCGTTAGTAGTAAAATGATAGCTTCTTTTTTCCTGCCGAATGATTGCACATTAGTCATTTGGTAATATTATTCAACCATAAATCAAACTATAAAATTTATTGAATGCTGAGAGCTTCAGTTTTTCTTTGACAAGAATTTTAGAAGCTTTGGAAAAACCTAACAATAAAATGAATAGTTGTGGAAGTGGAAATAAGACTATTTGATAAATGGAAGACTCGTAAAAAGAAAGAAATGTTTCATTTTTATTTTTTTTTGATTGGCAAACTAGTGTTTTGTGTTGTTTAATCTTAGCCAACCATATACACAACATCAGGGTTCTTGTGTGCAAAAATGCCTCATCCTTGTCTTTCATAGATGCTTCCCCTACTCCCCCAATTTCGCTGGGCAGCACTTCGTGCAAGACATAAGCCTTTTTTACTCTTTTATTTAATTTGGTTGTTAATCCCGGTCTTTGGTTCAAGCAATCACATATGACATTTAACTCCTCTCCATGCACTATGGTGTATATGGTAGCTCTTGTGACAGAAAATGTAGGCCCAGTTGATATCTGATGTTGATGTTTACAACAATTTGAAGGACTCTAATTTTATCATCTACCTTGCTATATACATGCATACACAGTGAGAGGAGTTAAATGTAGGTGAGTACATAATCTATTGGTGAAACTTTACCACGTCCAGTGGCTGAGGTTCTGAATATTACATTAAGGGATCTGTTTCTTCTTAGCTTTTTCCTCCTGTGAATCTCTGCCAGTATTGCCACTATAATTGCCAGTATTGATTGTCAACACATTTGAAGAGTTTCATGACTACGCAACCATTACTAAGGGTTTTTTTTTTTTTTTTTGGAATCTCGTAGAGGTAAAGTTCTGTTTAAGAAATCTGCTTGTGTGATCTAGGATTATTTGTCGGTTATGCTAGGTCTGATGATTACCTTTGCCTTTTGATTTACTGTCTCATTGGCGCAACATGATTTAATCCTTTGACTCTTTCTTATCGTCACATTCAGGTGAGAATGGGGGGGAAATCGTTGCGAGGTTGAAGCGTGACCTGCTCCCAACAATGATGAACGGCCTAATGTACTGGCCGTTGTGTGATTTCTTGACATATAAAGTAATCCCTGTCCATTTACAGGTACTATGTTACACTTATCTTTTTTGTAAGGACAGCTAGTGCATTTATGTTTCATGAGATTTATGTTGCTCGAACTCTCCAAAGTAGTAGCCGCACCCCTGTCAGATCCTCCAAAAATGCACTACTTTTGGAGGATCCAACATGCATTTTTGAAGAGTTCGAGCAACATAGAATTTTGAGATGATCCACAACTTCTCTGGTCTGACTACGAGCCCTTATTCTAGTTTCATCAATCTCAAATTTGTTGAACTTACTCAATTCATCTCCTTCAATTATTCTGAACTCTTTTAAACACTCACGAGGTTGACATTTTTGGTAATGCTCTTTAACAGCCATTAGCCAACAGTGCATTCGCATACGCCTGGACGATATATTTGACGTATATGGCCAGTTCCAAGAAAGCCATTGCTGCTTAGTATGCAACCCCTGCCCTGGAAGTCTCAAAACCGTGCAAATTGAGATAAAACTATCGCTGATCAGTCCTGCATATTGAGTTACTCAACATTATTCACAGGATGGTGTAGAATAGATCAAGGCCCTTGATTCAAGAGCCACAATTTGATTCATTCTTCCATTTATTTTCCGTATTTTCAGTTTCCAGTGTATTGATGAAGACGAGTCATTGAGAATATGCTGCTTCATCTACATATAATATTTTGCCTAAAATTTTTCAACTTTTGTAATGCTGTAGAGAAACATTATAACTTTAGATGAGATAATACATAAATATGCACTTTAATTTTGCTTTAACTGACATTTATGTGTTCTAATTTTGAGTATGCACAAATAGATACTTACATTTGTCTGTTCTACATGACATAATACATGTAGAACGCCACATAAGACACAAAATTTCCATGTAGGACACCACGTAAGATGAATGTGTTTATTTGTTCATTTTTATACAAGTATAGTGCCCACTTGTGCATATCTAAAATTGAAGGTCATATATGCAAGTTGATGGACACATTTTTGTGTTATGCCATATTTCATAAATTTCAAAAGTCTTTCTTCACGTAAATATGAGACAGAAGGAAGAAGTATAACACTACAAGATTTTTTCATTCTCTTTGATAAGATTAAAAGACTCTTAATGAGCAATCAACATAACTAACAATAAATTTCAATCATGAATATATGTGAAGGATAACTAAAGAGTCCAGAAATATTAAATTTGTTTTCTTCTCTTTAATATCCAAATGATACAAGAAGCCAAAAGAAAAGGTCTCTTTTATGGTGATTTGAAAAAAGACCAATGTTCAAGACTGCAAAGGCTCATTTCCCCTCATGTTAAGCATTCAATTGGCTTCATTCCCCACTGTTTCTGCAACTTAAAAAAAACAGAAGTACTTACAACAACAAAGGTGCAATAACTCTCTCATTTACTCTCCCTTATACACATTGCACTTTTCTACTTAATCTTCTTCATGACTCATCCTCATAAAAATCATTTCTTTATTCTAATAGTACTTCTTTGTTTTAATTTGCTTGTCTAATTTTAAGTTCATACAAAATGTAATAAAGTAATTATGACTTTTGAATCTTGTTGTGTTAAATAAATTAAGAAGAATTAACCGAAATAACATTTCACTCATTGATTAAACGAAAAGTGGGCAAATATATAATATATGTATAATTCATGTATAATATGTGAAGGATCGTGTATAATTAATGTATAGTCTATATATACCGATTACAACCGCTAGAAAAAGTAAATAGCAAATCTGTCTAGCTATTTATGTAAAAATTCCTTTATCTATTTTTCATATTACTTGACCTCTAGTGAGACGACACTCTTAAGAAAATTTTAATTAGAAGAAACACCAAAAATCTCTTTTTATTTTATGAATTTAAATAAGACTAAAGTTAAAATTAAAGAATTGTTTAAAAAATAGGAAACAAAAAAATCTTTTTTAAACATTTATTTTTTTCAAAAAAAAGTAGGAGAAACATATAGAAAAATATTTCTTCTTTTTATTCTACTCATCCATCAAAATAGTGGGCTCTTTGAGGAAACATTTCAAATGAATTGAATTTTATTCAAGAACTTCTCTTTTCTTGGAAAGGGTGTCAAGAATTTTTTCCAAAAATCAAATCTTTTTTTCTCTTTTTACAGTATGAAGACTTTTGGGTTCTCTGTTCTGTTCTTGATGATGGGAATTACAGCTTTTTTATCCCTTTTTTGCTTCAGCACTGGAGGTAAAAAGTCTTGAGAACCCTTGCTATTGTTCTGTGATATTACTAGTAATTTTATTTTTTTTCATATTTGAACTCAAAGTTCTTATTATTGAAGAGATTTCAGAATCTTGAATTGTAAACTAGCTCTAATTGCTTGTTCATTTTTGGACATTTTTTTTACTGTATTAAGTTTGTTCAAGTTTTGTTGTTGTTGTGAATTTATAGCCTAAAACTGGGGCATGTGAATTGTGGTTTTTTTCGTAAAACTAAGTATTTTATGTATATATTTTTTTAAATTGGTATAATATTATTTGTTGGCAAGAATGGTGTACTTGGTTGAATGCTGAGTTATTTACCTAAAGGAGTAGGGATCAGTTTCTGTTTTGTAGTTTGTACCACCTTTTATTATATCCGATTATTGCATTATTTCGTTGTTGTTACTGCTCTCCCTCGTGTTTTTTGTGTAATACTCTCCATTTCGCATTATTTTGTTGTTGGTCCCATATCTGTATCCTACTTTTACAAACTGTTTGAGAGAGGCTTTGTTTAAGCTGAAGGTCTATCAGAAATAACCTCTCTATCTCTATGCGGTAGGAGTAAGGTTTGCAATACACTCTTACCTCCCAAGACCCCACTTGTGGGATTACATTGGGTATATTGTCGTATCCGTGCAAACTATATTTCATTGTTGCTCTCCGAAAAAGGCTATTTCACTCCTAACTATTTGTTTACCTCGTTTTCCTTAGCGTAAATGGATCTGAGTGTAAATGGCTTTCTCTCATCACAAATCTTGTGATACATATATATATAATACACATAAAAATGAACATATTTAAGCAAGGAATCCTAGTTGAATGATTGACCGATATCCCTCCTAGTCGTTTTCAATTATATAGGTAATCAAGTGAGCATAACGAGACAATGATTATCTACATGTATACTCTTCTCTTCCCTATCCTCCTCCTCTTTCCGGTGTTTTACACCAAATCAAACAATTTAACCCACATCCATGGATGGGGAGCAGAGTTAACAGATTGAGAACGCATCATCATTTTTTATTTTTATTTTTTAGTTGGTCCAAATTTGTTTAGTATATCTCCTATCATAGAAGGGCCTTTATAGTTGTCAATGTAGGTAGAGAAGGGCCTTTATAGGGTCTATCACCTATCGGAAGCAGCCTCCCTATCCTCACAAGGTAGGGGTAAGGTTTGCGTACACTCTTCCCTCCTTTGATCCCACCTTGTGGGATTATACTAGGTTGTTGTGTATTTGATATAACATAAATTGTCTTGCTTCACTTCTTGTATACACCAATTCATCTTACTTTTATTGAACTACTTATGTTATTGATCGTATTTGTTTCTCGATGGTTCTCAAATGTCTGCCCGAGGATCATTCACAAAGTCTCAGTACATTTTTGATAAAGTCATTTCGGTTTGTTAATATGCACGGTGCTTGCTGTTAGAAGAATTATATGAGATATATACCGATCTCTGTTTGCCAGATACTGAGGTTAAAACTACAGAATTGATCAGCAGATAGTCGTATTCACAGTTTCACGCAAGGGTATGGTATTGACGTAGCTTTCTCGTAAATGAAACACAGGAATGTCCTTCAAATGGCAAAACACAGATACAACGATGACCATAAAGAACAGAAAGCTGCAGGTACTTTGTGACAGTTATAACTTATAGTTATGTTGTTCGATGGTGTAGAAATTATATGTTGTGTATGGATTACTAAAAAGTCTCTTTTTTTCTCCCCTATTTCCCATCCTCAGGACAATGGCTACGGTCCAAGCATCAATGAGGACGATTCAAGCAAGTTAGGACTGGAAGATTATCGTCCCATCGATCCAGTTCCTAGCTCAAAAGCTTCCGTAAAACCAGGACCTGTTGAGCATGGTACTCCTCTTATGCCTTATATTCCTAAGCCTTCACCTCCTCCTATTAGCACCATCGATGGGCTCCCATAAGCTCATCGTTAGTCCACTTCCACCGCTGTGCTAAAGTTGGGCAAATGTTGTTTTTTCCTTCAGAAAAGCTGTCTTTGCTAATTTTGTGTTGTTCCTGTAAATTTTTTCGTTGAAACTTTCTGTATTACCATGGCATGTAACTTATAGTACGCCTCTAGCTAGGCGATACTTGCACAAGTTATCAGTTATTTATGTAGTTGAATTTCGTACATAACTGATAATTCTTTGCTAGGTGCTGCATGGATAGTAGAGCTCTTCGATTACATATAATCACGTAGTTATATGTAATAGAAGGAGCTCTACTATCCATGAGTTTTTGGCACTAGGTAGTTCTTCTAACTTACTTTATAATTATCACTAGTTATAGACTGCATACACTATAGTTTCAGACTTGGACCAGAAATTGTAGTGATAATTGAACCGAGGGTCTTATCAGAAACAACCTCTCTACCTTCCAAGATAGGGGTAAGATTTATGTACACACTATCGTCCTCAGACCCCACTTATGAGATTACATTGGGTATGTTGTGGTTGTAATTATGATGATAGTAGTAGTCTTGTAGGCAACTAATCATGTCTAGAAGTGTTTGAAGATAAGAGTCTCCTTGTTAGATTTTCTTGATCAATAATTGTTAGCCTTGACAACGGTAATATTTGTTGTCGTGTGATCAAAGGGTCACAGGTTTACGCCGTGAAAATAATCCCTCTTGCATAAATAATATAAGGTAAGGTTATGTATAGTAGACTCAATATGGTTCAACCTTTCTATATAGACGCTACACATGATAAAAGCTTAGTACATTGGACTCGTCAATCTAGTTCAGAAGAGAGGAAAAACGAAAATAAAAATAAATAAAAATATAGAGAGCATGAATTGCAAAATTAATTTGTAACTCAATGATTGATTTATAATTTAGTGTAATAAAATGAATCAATTAAATATTCAAATAATCACTTTCTCCAAATTGTATTCTATATTTACCAAAAAAAAATAATTGTGCTAATATTTTGTCCTCCCACTCAAATAGACATGTAACAACTATAATTGAACTTCTCAAAATAATTGTCTTAATTTCTTAGCTGGATGAGGACTTTCCACCTCATCTTCACCGGAGCGAAAACCCGACCAATATTCCGGCAATGCCGGAATGTTCAAGTCAAAGTTGTTGACGGACCCCACACCGTTCGACGATGATGATGATGACGTCACCTTCCCTTCATAATGGCGCCTTTTGTGACCACCCAAAGCTTGTCCAGTTGGAAAAGTCTTGTGACAAATGGAACACTCATGAGTCCTTCCACTAACCGCATTACCTGACGTGATGACTACAGATTGTTCGTAGACTTTATCTCTGTTACTACGATGACTAGCTTTGTGTCCTCCTAAAGCTTGATAAGATCCAAAACATTTACCACAAACTGAACACTTGTAAGAATTCTTACTAGTAATATTGTTATTGTTATTGCTGTGTGCGAGCATGAGTAGACAGAAAGCTAAGTATTCATCTTCGGAAATAATTGGTTGTTGTTCCTCCATGACGATGCTACGAGGTCGTTTCGATCTGATCTTGCTTTTTGTCCATGATTCAAGGTAATTTTGAGTAGTAGTATTAATTTGGAATTGAAATAGTGATGGTGGAGTTGTGGTGGTTGGAGAGTTCAAAGCTTCAAGTGCCATTACTAGTTGGTTTTTTCTTAGTGAATGAAGAAATTTGTGAGTGAAAAGAAGAGAAAGAGTTGGAATTATGTTTGTTGATTTTGAGTGAGGGAGATTTGTAATATATAAAGGGGAGAAATTAGATAAGGAAGTTGCAAGTCAAGGAGTAGGAAGGAGAGAGTGGAGCACATTTGACAAAGATATTAATTACTTGAGGGCCAAGTGGAACTTTGTTTAGTACTGAGGCGGCGGAGCTAGGTGGGGGATCATGGGTTCAGACGAACCCAATAGCTTTTCTGTAGTCTTTATATTTGTACTAGAAAATTAATTAAATATATATGTATATTAATTTGTGAACTCCTAACAACATTGATTGACGGTTATTAATGAAATTTAGAACCCCTAAACTCTTAATCCTGACTTTGCCTCTGTATTATGACCCTCAACAAAGACGGCTAAAAAGGATGCAAGGTATTTACACTTATTTGGTTTTATTCTTCCACTTTAGATAGGGATGACAATAGGGAGATGTGGGGCGGGTTCAAACATTTTTAAAGAGAGTGGATGATGTATTAGTCAGTCACACAAATATAGTTGTATTTTAAATAATAAAGTTAAAATCGAAAAATTATTTTTAAAATAGTAAAGTGAATGGAGAGAATATATATTAATTGAGCCAGTTGCCTAAGCTGCATGTAGACTATGGACTCTATCAAAAGTCAAAACATATTCCTCAAGATATAAAATGATTGGTGGAGGTTTAAGATTAATACATTTGGAAGATGTATACATCTCCAATAACCAATGTATACTCTCTTTTTTTATATATCAAAGTCCAAATCAAATATCTAAAGTATTCAAATTTTGACTCCAACAAACTCTGTCAATCTATTCTCAAAAGCGTGTACACAGAAGACCCTTTATTCAGACTGTCTTATTTTCAAGCTTCTACAGCTTACTTTATCATTCTATTTTAAAAAACGTGTAGATAGAAGATCCTTTTTTTAGACTGTCTTATTTTCAGGCCTCTACGGCTGGCAGAGGAAGAAGAGAAGGAAAAGTACAAGTTTGCCCAAACTATGTCCATCCCTAATTAGAGGTTGGGCATATTTCACAATATTGACCTAAATCTTGTGTGACTTTATGAGCCACCAGCAGCCTTAACAACTTCCAACTTTGACTGTAATTATTAATTTCCACTATTGTTGGTGTATGTAATTAATGATTATGATTAGCAAATTTTATTAGAAATTACTATAGTTTGGTTTTTATATTACGAGTTGTAGCTACATTTTTACTATTTACGCTTTATAGCAAGGTTTGGTTGCTAGACAACTTTATTCAGTATATTTGTTGTTCGCGAAACGAATATAATTTGTGTCAACAATATTTGTTCATGCAACAAATACAATCAAGGTGAAATACAAAATAAATAGGAGTGTTGGTATATTAAAAAGGCAACAAAATGTTCAAATCATAGCCATATAATAGAATTTTCTTTTAAAAGAATAAATCAAATGAATGAAATAATCAAATAATCACTTTCCCAAAGTGTGTCCTATTGTTGTTGGAATAATTCAAGTGAAGGAAATTGTCTTAATTTCTTAGTTGGATGAGGACTTTCCACCTCATCCTCGCCCGAGGCAAAACCCGGCCAATTATCTGGTAACACCGGAATATTCAAGTCAAAGTTGTTGACCGACCCCACACCGTTCGACGATGATGATGATGACGTCACCTTCCCTTCATAATGGCGCCTTTTGTGACCACCCAAAGCTTGTCCAGTTGGAAAAGTCTTGTGGCAAATGGTACACTCATGAGTCCTTCCACTAACCACATTACATGACGTGATGACTACAGATTGTTCGTACACTTTATCTCTATTACTACGATGGCTAGCTTTGTGTCCTCCTAAAGCTTGATAGGATCCAAAAGACTTACCACAAACTGAACACTTGTAAGAATTCTTACTAGTAACATTGTTATTGTTATTGCTGCGTGCGAGCATGAGTAGACACAAAGCTAAGTATTCATCTTCGGAAATAATTGGTTGTTGTTCCTCCATGACGATGCTACGAGGTCGTTTCGATCTGATCTTGCTTTTTGTCCATGATTCAAGGTAATTTTGAGTAGTAGTATTAATTTGGAATTGAAATAGTGATGGTGGAGTTGTGGTGGTTGGAGAGTTCAAAGCTTCAAGTGCCATTACTAGTTGGTTTTTTCTTAGTGAATGAAGAAATTTGTGAGTGAAAAGAAGAGAAAGAGTTGGAATTATGTTTGTTGATTTTGAGTGAGGGAGATTTGTAATATATAAAGGGGAGAAATTAGATAAGGAAGTTGCAAGTCAAGGAGTAGGAAGGAGAGAGTGGAGCACATTTGACAAAGATATTAATTACTTGAGGGCCAAGTGGAACTTTGTTTAGTACTGAGGCGGCGGAGCTAGGTGGGGGATCATGGGTTCAGACGAACCCAATAGCTTTTCTGTAGTCTTTATATTTGTACTAGAAAATTAATTAAATATATATGTATATTAATTTGTGAACTCCTAACAACATTGATTGACGGTTATTAATGAAATTTAGAACCCCTAAACTCTTAATCCTGACTTTGCCTCTGTATTATGACCCTCAACAAAGACGGCTAAAAAGGATGCAAGGTATTTACACCTATTTGGTTTTATTCTTCCACTTTAGATAGGGATGACAATAGGGAGATGTGGGGCGGGTTCAAACATTTTTAAAGAGAGTGGATGATGTATTAGTCAGTCACACAAATATAGTTGTATTTTAAATAATAAAGTTAAAATCGAAAAATTATTTTTAAAATAGTAAAGTGAATGGAGAGAATATATATTAATTGAGCCAGTTGCCTAAGCTGCATGTAGACTATGGACTCTATCAAAAGTCAAAACATATTCCTCAAGATATAAAATGATTGGTGGAGGTTTAAGATTAATACATTTGGAAGATGTATACATCTCCAATAACCAATGTATACTCTCTTTTTTTATATATCAAAGTCCAAATCAAATATCTAAAGTATTCAAATTTTGACTCCAACAAACTCTGTCAATCTATTCTCAAAAGCGTGTACACAGAAGACCCTTTATTCAGACTGTCTTATTTTCAAGCTTCTACAGCTTACTTTATCATTCTATTTTAAAAAACGTGTAGATAGAAGATCCTTTTTTTAGACTGTCTTATTTTCAGGCCTCTACGGCTGGCAGAGGAAGAAGAGAAGGAAAAGTACAAGTTTGCCCAAACTATGTCCATCCCTAATTAGAGGTTGGGCATATTTCACAATATTGACCTAAATCTTGTGTGACTTTATGAGCCACCAGCAGCCTTAACAACTTCCAACTTTGACTGTAATTATTAATTTCCACTATTGTTGGTGTATGTAATTAATGATTATGATTAGCAAATTTTATTAGAAATTACTATAGTTTGGTTTTTATATTACGAGTTGTAGCTACATTTTTACTATTTACGCTTTATAGCAAGGTTTGGTTGCTAGACAACTTTATTCAGTATATTTGTTGTTCGCGAAACGAATATAATTTGTGTCAACAATATTTGTTCATGCAACAAATACAATCAAGGTGAAATACAAAATAAATAGGAGTGTTGGTATATTAAAAAGGCAACAAAATGTTCAAATCATAGCCATATAATAGAATTTTCTTTTAAAAGAATAAATCAAATGAATGAAATAATCAAATAATCACTTTCCCAAAGTGTGTCCTATTGTTGTTGGAATAATTCAAGTGAAGGAAATTGTCTTAATTTCTTAGTTGGATGAGGACTTTCCACCTCATCCTCGCCCGAGGCAAAACCCGGCCAATTATCTGGTAACACCGGAATATTCAAGTCAAAGTTGTTGACCGACCCCACACCGTTCGACGATGATGATGATGACGTCACCTTCCCTTCATAATGGCGCCTTTTGTGACCACCCAAAGCTTGTCCAGTTGGAAAAGTCTTGTGACAAATGGAACACTCATGAGTCCTTCCACTAACCGCATTACCTGACGTGATGACTACAGATTGTTCGTAGACTTTATCTCTATTACTACGATGGCTAGCTTTGTGTCCTCCTAAAGCTTGATAGGATCCAAAAGACTTACCACAAACTGAACACTTGTAAGAATTCTTACTAGTAACATTGTTATTGTTATTGCTGCGTGCGAGCATGAGTAGACACAAAGCTAAGTATTCATCTTCGGAAATAATTGGTTGTTGTTCCTCCATGACGATGCTACGAGGTCGTTTCGATCTGATCTTGCTTTTTGTCCATGATTCAAGGTAATTTTGAGTAGTAGTATTAATTTGGAATTGAAATAGTGATGGTGGAGTTGTGGTGGTTGGAGAGTTCAAAGCTTCAAGTGCCATTACTAGTTGGTTTTTTCTTAGTGAATGAAGAAATTTGTGAGTGAAAAGAAGAGAAAGAGTTGGAATTATGTTTGTTGATTTTGAGTGAGGGAGATTTGTAATATATAAAGGGGAGAAATTAGATAAGGAAGTTGCAAGTCAAGGAGTAGGAAGGAGAGAGTGGAGCACATTTGACAAAGATATTAATTACTTGAGGGCCAAGTGGAACTTTGTTTAGTACTGAGGCGGCGGAGCTAGGTGGGGGATTATGGGTTCGGACGAATTCAGTAGCTTTTCTGTAGACTTTATATTTGTACTAGAAAATTAATTATATCTATATATATATATATTAATTTGTGAACTCCTAACAACATTGATTGACGGTTATTAATGAAATTTAGAACCCCCAAATTCTTAATCCTGACTTTGCCTCTGTATTATGACCCTCAACGAAGACGGCTAAAAAGGATGCAAGGTATTTACTCCTATTTGGTTTTATTCTTCCACTTTAGATAGGGATGACAATAGGGAGATATGGGGCGGGTCAGATGCAGGGCGGGTTCAAACATTTTTAAAGAGAGTGGAGTGATTGTATTAGTCAGTCACACAAATATAGTTGTATTTTAAATAATAAAGTTAAAATCGAAAATTTATTTTTAAATAGTAAAGTGAATGGAGAGAATATATATTAATTGGGACAGTTGCCTAATCTGCATGTAGACTATGGACTCTGTCAAAAGTCAAAACACATCTCTTCCTCAAGATATAAAATGATTGGTGGAGGTTTAAGATTCATTTGGAAGATGTATACATCTCCAATAACCAATGTATAATTTTTTTTTTATATCAAAGTCCAAATCAAATATCAAATTTTGACTCCAACAAACTCTGTCAATCTTTTCTCAAAAGCGTGTACACAGAAGATCCTTTATTCAGACTGTCTTATTTTCATGCTTCTACAGCTTACTTTGTCATTCTATTTTCAAAAACGTGTAGATAGAAGATTCTTTTTTCAGACTGTCTTATTTTCAGGCCTCTACGGCCGGCAGAGGAAGAAGAGAAGGAAAAGAGGAAGTACAAGTTTGCCCAAACTATGCCATCCCTAATTAGAGGTTGGGCATATTTCACAATATTGACCTAAATCTTGTGTGACTTTATGAGCCACCAGCAGCCTTAACAACTTCCAACTTTGATTGTAATTATTAATTCCCACTATTGTTGATGTATGTAATTAATGATTATGATTAGCAAATTTTATTAGAAATTACTATAGTTTGGTTTTTATATTACGAGTTGTAGCTACACTTTTACTATTTACGCTTTATAGCAAGGTTTGGTTGCTAGACGACTTTATTCAGTATATTTGTTCGCGAAACAAATATAATTTGTGTCAACAATATTTGTTCATGCAACAAATACAATCAAGGCGAAATACAAAATAAATAGGAGTGTTGGTATATTAAAAAGGCAACAAAATGTCCAAATCACAGCCATATAATAGAATTTTCTTTTAAAAGAATAAATCAAATGAATGAAATAATCAAATAATCACTTTCCCAAAATGTGTCCTATTGTTGTTGGAATAATTCAAGTGAAGGAAATTGTCTTAATTTCTTAGTTGGATGAGGACTTTCCACCTCATCCTCGCCCGAGGCAAAACCTGGCCAATTATCTGGTAACACCGGAATATTCAAGTCAAAGTTGTTGACCGACCCCACACCGCTCGACGATGATGATGACGTCACCTTCCCTTCATAGTGCCGCCTTTTGTGACCACCCAAAGCTTGTCCAGTTGGAAAAGTCTTGTGGCAAATGGTACACTCATGAGTCCTTCCACTAACCACATTACATGACGTGATGACTACAGATTGTTCGTAGACTTTATCTCTATTACTACGATGACTAGCTTTGTGTCCTCCTAAAGCTTGATAAGATCCAAAAGACTTACCACAAACTGAACACTTGTACAAATTCTTACTAGTAACATTGTTATTGTTATTGCTGCGTGCGAGCATGAGTAGACACAAAGCTAAGTATTCATCTTCAGTAATAATTGATTGTTGCTCTTCCATGACGATGCTACGCGATCGTTTCGATCTGATCTTGCCTTTAGTCCATGAATTCAAAGCTTCAAGTGCCATTACTATAGTTGTATTTTTCTTAGAGAATGAAGAATTTACTGTGAGTGAATAGAAGAAGGGATATTTGTAAGTGAATATATAGTTGGTGAGTGGGATATATAGAAGGAAGTTGCTAGACAAGTAGTAGGAAGGTAGTAATTATAATTATTAGGTAGTTGAATGAAATTGAAAAATGAGCAAGTTGAAGTAGTGAATATTTTATTAAATGCAAGTGGTATAGACTATAGTATATATTAGACTATGGAAAGCTAAACAAAATGTATATTGACTTATATTTTGTGTGACTTTTTCAGCCGCCAGCAGCCGCTTGCTTAACAACTTGTCAACTTGTCAAAAGGGTATGAAATGTTAAATTAGAATTTGTGGTTAACTCCCGTCTCAAAAACTAACTTAAAGAAAGGAGGATTATCAAAAACTTATAAAGAGTTCAATATTTGATACATTCATGAGACATTTCATTCATTACCTCTTAAGCTCAGACTCAAATATTTTTTATTTGGTGTTTCACTGTTTGATCTGGTGCGTACACATTCATGGATGGGGAATGTCTACCCTCCACAACTATCCGATTTCCTGGGGGCTAGGGATGGATATAAAATCGAAAATTTGAATTAAACAGAATCAAACTAATTCGATTCTTCAATTTTGGTTGTAATTTTCTTAAGCTTTGGTTTAGGATCTCGATACTTCAATGCATTGAAAAACCAGATTTTATTAACATATATATGAAACTTGTGGCCTAAAATAAGTGATAGATATTTGTGTGACTATAAATCATTTCATTAAAGATAAAATGAGCATTTTAAAGTTAAATTGTTACTAAATATAGAAATGTGTCATTTTTTGTGAGTCATATAATTTGATACAGAGTGGATACTATTTATTCTTTTTTAATGTTTTCAAAATTCAGTTTTATACGGGGTTTTTTCTTTAAAAAATCTAAAAACTAATGAGGTAATGAATCGTGTTGCATAGATGGGCCTAACAAAGTGGGCTAATATATATGGGCCGAAAGGCCTTATGATAATACAAGTCTAGATGGAAAATTTGCACAAATAGGATCTTTGAGTGCCACCATTTAAATTTTAGCCTCATTGAAAAAACAATGTCAAAATAATAAAGTATGTAACCTAATTGATTCATGAGAAATATTGCTATATTCAGCGCGATATTCCCATTTGATCACTTTAATTTTAACATGTAGGAGTCAACCTGCTCAAATTTAGCGTGATCTATCTATTTGACCACTCTAATTTTAACCAGTAGGGTTTGACTATACTCTATTTCATATGGTAACATAGGTAAAACGGGCCTTCTTCTAAGAACGAATGGAACCAAGTGAGTGGTTCAACCACATAGCTTCGAATTTCGAGAGAGAGTAGAATAAAAGAGTAAGAACTCTGTTTTATAGATTTTAAAAGTTTAAATAAGTGTGTGTAAATGTAAAGTGTTGTATTTTAATTTAGGGTGTTCTTTTTCTTTTTTTGGGGATATTTTTTAGTAGCAAATCAACCCTTAACAATTTCAGTATCAACTTTGATTTTAAAAGTACATATAGTGATCGATGATCTCTTTTATACATATAAAAAATATTTAGTAATAATAGATTTCTCTTTTAAGATCGTCGCAAAAGTATTTAACGGCAATTGAGTTATTAATATATTACGTTCAGAATCATTAAAGATTTTAGAAACATTTATATAAAGGGCTGGTAATTGATATGCTTTATATATGTCTACTATATGAAACATGAGAACTACTCATGATCAAGATTAAAAAATGTGTTTTTACATAGTTAGCATATGGGGGACATTAATGTCTTATATCACAATAATTAAAAACAAAATGACATTTGTTTATTGCTTCCAAATTCATAAATTAATTAGAGGTCAATTCCCATTCCATTATAAGCAATTGGTGCATACATCCACATATCATCTGAGCTCAGTAACTGCAGTAAAATGAAAATATTTAATTATTCATTCAATCAAATAATAAAGTAAAGAAAGTGAAAAAAGGGATATTTTTATTTTTATTACCTTAATTTGTATCTGCAAAAACTTCACATAATGGACCGCTTCTTCAAGCATTGTGCTTAAGTCAACCTGAATTATATCAATTAAAAAACTCAATTACAGAATTCTTGATTACATAAACAAATGTTATGTACATCATTTCAAGCTATACTGCTCAGACTCTCCAAAATTGTCATAGCATCTGTGTCAGATCTTTTTAAAAAAAATTATTTAAAAGGATCTGACATGCACTTATCAATATTTTTGAAGAGTCTGAGCAACATAGATTTTACTGATTAATGAAATAAACATTGGTTACCTTTGTGCCATTAGGGACAAGACCTTGCAAGATTCTCAATCTTTCATTGATTCTTTCTCTTCTTTTCTGCATTTTTTGTAAATGAAATTATTAATTTCAGGATTTGACTTATATACACGAACAACATAAAGAACTTTGCATTATCAGCGTAATTTAACATGTTATAGCAAATAACTTGTCTTATTTACATATTTCACTTTTTACGAACAGTTACATGTAGTTATCTTTCAGGTTACGCGTAATCGAATAAAATCTTATGTTCTTACCCTTGCATAAAGGCTTTGTGGATCTGTTGCAGCCCCTCTGCTTGCCCTTGTTTTGGTTTTTAAATTTGAATCATCCTCAGAGCTGCAACAGCTTGTGCTTTGTCCATTATTATTAGTCTCTTTGTCTCCAACTTCTTCATTGTTCATTTGAATGTTCTTTTGGTTCTTTTTGGCTTTTGGTTGGCTATTCTTCTTATTTTTTGGTCCCTGCATTGAGTAAATAATTAACCCCTATTACAAATTATCATCTCGAGCTATGTTGTTCGGATTCTCCAAAAATATTGCCACATTTGTCAGATTCTTCGAATATAACCTAAGAATCTGACATAGACGATATTTTTGAAAAGTTTGAACAGCAATCATTGAGTTCAAGATTCTAATAGAAAGATAATGAATGTCTGAGGTTGATTTCTCAGATGGTCACTTATTATTTCAGAAAGTCACCTTTTTCAACAAAAAAAAAGCGACTTTATGAGATAATAAATATTAATTGAGTAACTATCAAACTCGAATTTATGTTACTCACATGATCTCTTGACACCTTTGATTTCTTCTTAGGATTTTCAGACTCCTTGAATTTTTCCTCCTCTGTTATTGATTGAACTTCAACTTTATCAAACTTCCTCTTTAACAACATTTCATTATCCAATTGGCTAAAATTATTGCCAATATTTTCTTTCATAATATAATCATCATTAGACAATGAATTTTCAAGATTCTTGTTGCCCATCATGTAAAAATTAGTGGACTCAACATCATAATTATGTTGTAAATATTCATGACTTGTGTTGTTGTTGAGAAAAAATATATCACCACTTCCTCTACTATCAATACTATTTTCTTGAGAAAAATAATCTATGTTACTAGTACTATTTAAAGTATGAGAATTAGAAGAAGAAGAAAAAAAACTCCCTCCAATAATATTATCTTCACCATGTAATTGAAACATGAAATCTGATGAATTTTCATTAAAGAACATTTTGCTCAAAGATTGACAATATTCTTCATCAAAAAATGCTCCCATTTGCTCCATTATATGTTGAGTGATTTTTTTAATAAATATTATTCTCAAAAAGTGATAGGACAAAATAAGGTTTTTGAGGATGTATCTTACTTGGAATATGAGACAAAAGTTAGGAACTTATTTATACTAGTACTAGAAAGGGTTATAAGTTAAGGAAATAGAAGAATGTTTATTAAATAAATAATTGATACTCCTCTTTCCATTCAATTTGTTTGTCCTGTTTTAATTTTATAAGAAAATAAAAAAATTAAATCTCATAGTATGTCAAATATACTGAAATGTTATTTAATCTTGTGATCTGAAACGTATCATGTGAAGAGTTGAAAATAAAAAATACGTTCTTTATTAAATAGATTAAAGAGGAAAATAGGACAAATAAATTGAAACGGAGGAAATATTATTTGGATATTAAAATCTATAATTTCATAAGGAATCTTTATCACCAGGCAATGTACAACTAAGAAGTGGGACCAAGTTCATGCAACTAATAAAATAAAAATTGTGTCATTCTTCTAATTAGAGATTAATCATTAATGAAATCTTGGACTAATTAGAAGGATAACTGTCTTAATCTAATCATTGGGACAATATGACTTCTAATTTTTAAGTTTTAATCCACTGATTAATGAATTAAATTGTGTTGTTAAATATTATTAATGATAATTTATGAGTTTCGCAGAAAGAGAGAACAAGAAGAAGTAATAAGTTTTAAGAAAATAAAGAGAAACACTTCTCTACAAATTATATATTTCTTGTTGGCTTGTACTCATTTTCATCGCCCTAGATTTAAAGTGAAAACTTTAATATTTCGTTATTATAAAATGAGGGGACATCATAAAATTGTACAGGCTAGTTAAAGCGAGAGAGAAAGGTTTGTAATCTGGACTAAGTGAAGTGTATCAAGGATAATGAAAATAATGTATTATTGGAAAAATTTATTAGACGTAAAAGACATACATACTTCTACAATCTCTTTAATTGAAGAGGGGAACATGACTATTGTATTAGGGGGCTATGCTTGAAACAAGCAGGGTATTTCTTCGATTTATAAATACATTTGGTGTTTCTTCGGTTTATTTTCATAAACTTACTTAATTATTTGGTACGATAATAAATATTTATTAAAATCTACGATATAATAAAAGAAACCTAATATTTTTCGATACAATCAATTTAAGTGATTTTTTTAAAACCATTTAAATTTTAACACTTATGCTTACTTGTTAATCTTATAGTTGTCTTGTTTAATTTTATTTTATTTCTTTCGTAATGGAGTTCCCATTACCTATTAACAGAATAAATAGAAATATAATAAATTAATTAAGATACACTAGCTGGCCAAACATCCCCATACGTTATGAAAGTAAAAAAAAATTAAAAAAATTAAAGTAATTGAGAGAACGTGATGATATATAAAGAAGAAGAAAAATGGGAAATGTTAAAAAATATACAGCGTTTGAAAATATTTATAGTACATAGTTCAATAAATAATATTATACAATATTACATCTAAGAGAAAATTATTATATTTGATGTATTAATTTTGTATGAAAGATATTTATACACAATTATAAGATAAATCATGTATTTAAGTAGATTTTACACAATTTCATAGTGTTAAAAGTTAATCAAGTATATTTTATCCCTATCTTTTTCAAATTACAAACCTTAAATTTGATGGAATCCGGATACATTCCAAAACATTCCGATACATCGGGTCTCGATTTCGGACACATCCATCAACGTCCTGATATATCGCGTTTTGATTTCGGATACATCACATTATGATATATCGTGTATGTCTTGATACATCGCGTAAAGTGATGCATCCAATTGATACATCGCGTAAAGTGATGCATCCAATTGATACATCGCGTAAAGTGATGCATCCAATTGATACATCGCGTAAAGTGATGTATTCAACTGATATATTGCGTAAAATAATGTCCCAATACATCGCGTAATTGAGTGGGTGGATGTGTGTTGGGGGGGGGGGGGGGGGGGGAGGGGATGAATTCAGTTGGAGGTAAGGACAGTTGATCATGGAAGACAAGTACTAATTTCTTCAAAACTACTAACTAAATCCGACATAGTAAGTCCAACGTTCGATTCTTGTTCCTTTTTGTCTCAATACCTAACCATTGTTCTTTGTTGTACTAATAATTAAAAAAATAATTTTAACATATCCCCATGTAACCTTGTTTTTGTTGTAATATTAAAGTGTTTTATATGACGGTGAAATCAGAATTTCTACTAAGGAGAATCGAGATATAAACAATTGAACATATAAAGTGAAAGACAATAAACACTATAGAACGGTTGTAATGTGAAATGTGCACATAAGACTAGACAAAATTATAAAAGATCACACGTAACATAATGTGAAAGTAACATATATACATAAATTATTTCAAATGAAAGAATGTAGCGTGAGATAGTTTGATTATGTCCTGCATAGACCTCGTGATTTTTTATCTCTCAGAGTCTCAGTATAAAATTATTTGAGGTAAAATTGTTAAAAAAATGACTCAAATTATTTTGTAAATCTACTACAATCTTTCAAAATTAATACACATATCACAGACAATAACTAATCACATTATAAAAATAATTTTTACCTCATAATCTAATCACCTAGTTGTTGTTTTTTTGCCTATTCATATCTATCATCAAAGATGTCTCGAACTTATTCGCATCAAATAATATATCAAATCAAATAATTAAATCGTAAAATTTATATATTAATGATCAATTGATAGATAAAAAGTTTATAAAGATGATAGCTGACACATGTCTTTTATTAATTAAATTTAGTGTACACATAATACAATGATTGGGTATAATTTTTTTCTATTACATTACCTTATCACCCTTCCATCACCATTTCACACCTTTAATTAAAAAAGAAAATACAGTACATTTTTATTTTGTTTCATTTTATCAAATAAACCTTCTCTTTCAATGTACTTTGAAGGTCACACCAACCTTTGCACGATCTCAAGAGAGAACAAAAAAATAGTTAAAACAAAATTATAAACCTTTTTTTAAAAATAAAAAAAAACCACAAATGGTTGGAATAAAATCTAATTTTTTTAGAAAAATATAGAGATTTGAACAACTCCAAAAGATCAGATTTTGATCTCTTGGGAATGTATTTCCAATTGGCTATTTTTGGCCGGCTTTGCACGACTTATTTTTTTATTAAAATAATTTTTCCTTTTTTTTAAAATAAAAATTAAAGCACATATTTTTGCCAACTTTTGAGCATATACAAGAGTGAAAGATGGCCATATATTTATATTTTTGCCAACTTTTAAGCATGAACAAGAGTTATATATATAATAATAAAAAAATTATCTAGTATAACTTTTTATCGATGGAGTTCAGATGAGTATCCTCCCGCTTCTTTTATATTTTCCCCGGATCATAGACACAAATCCACCAACATACAAGTTTAATTGTAAGTTGTCACAATGGATAATACTACGTATACTTACATAAAATTCTATATACGCCACTGAAAGATAGAGTAAAATTTTGTTTTATCAAACTTCAAATATTGATTGAGTGGAAAAAAATAACTGTCTTTTACTATAGAGCCAATAATTTCATTAGTCAATTTTATTTTGTTAAAAATTATCAATAATTTCATCTGAAGCCAATAATCCTAACACTTGTCTTTTACTATTGAGCCACGTTTCTGTTTAATATATGATATTTCCCCTCTCCTATGCATGCATTACCTAAGTCATTACAAAAGATGATACTCCTATCTTCGTTTCAATTTATTTATCCTATTTCTTATTTGATATGAAACTTTTTTTTAAAAATCTTTTTTTAAAAAATATTTTGGATTCGATTTTGTTGCTCTAACCATTATCAAATTAATACATATTTCATTTAATATTTCAGGTGCTTATGTTGTGTATAATATTAATCTTGTAGCATATCAATTTTAACGAGTCTTTCAAACTAGTTCTATTAGTGATCGACTCTATAGTTTGGTTTTTATATGAAACTTCTAATACATCCACTTGTCCCAAGAATCTTGGATATGTAACTGCTCAAGATATCATCTAGTTTAACGGAACCAACTGATTTTTATATTGGATTACGAATAGAAAGAAATGGTAGATATTTTATAAAAATGTCACATATCTTTTAAAATGGAAATCTTAAACTAAAGATATGTTAAATATACGCAAATGCTTTTTAGTTTTGTGATCTTAGATATGTAATGTGGACAGCTAAAAGGTGAGACTTGTCCAAAAAAAAGAATATTTTTTAAACGAACTAAAAAAGAACATAGAACAAAAAAAATTGAAACGGAGAAAATATATTTACATAATAACATCTTGTAAAATTCAACTGGGATTAGAAAATGAATATATTTATTTCTTTTCAATATTTTATTTTTTCAAAGAGTTATTATGTACACAAAGGAATTTCAAAGTAGATCCAATTAGACATGGTAAACAATGAATATCTTCAAACATATTATTGAACCATTCATCGCCTAACTTCCAAATTAAATAAGATATTATTAACTTAAAAGAATTTTTCCTATATATTTTTCCCATCCTTAAGATTGTTATTAACTGGTAAGAATAAAATCAAATACTTTCAAACTTTGCTGCACAAATATTATCAGTTATAAAAAGAAAAATAGATTTTTTAGATGGTGGTCCCTTTTTAAGGATAGTAAATTATTTAGTAAATGATTCTCTTTTTTATTTTTCTTTCAATTTATGACCTTTTAGATTACCGTTAAAAGATTCTTCTTGATCAAATTAAAAAAATTTATAAAAAAATGTTAAATCACGATATAAATTCTGAAGACATCAAATAACAATCTAATATAGTATATTATTAGTCCCAACTCCCAAAGAGCTATATTTACAAGAATTTTTGAAAATATGGACTAAATTTTAGTTAAATACATATTTCAGAATTTATTATCTCTAACTTATTAAAAATCGCACGTCTAAATTAAAAATCCATTATATAAA